TGTGGGTTTCCTCCGGGTGCTCTGGTTTCCCCCACAGTCCAAACACATGCGCTATAGGGGAACTGATCAACTACACTGGCCGTAGTGTATGAGTGTGTATGGGTGTTTCCCAGTACTGGGTTGCAGCTGGAAGGGCATCCGCTGTGTAAAACACATGCTGGAATAGTTGGTGGTTCATTCCGCTGTGGCGACCCCTGATGAATAAAGAGCTGAAGGAAAATGAATGCATCTTCTTTGGAAAAGTGTGAAAACTGAGACTGAAGTGTGTGTTTCAGATCTTGTCCAGCAGGTGGAGCCACACACACACACACACACTCTCTCTCTCTCTCTCTCTCTCTCTCTATTTTTGTCAGACACACACACACACACACACAGCTTCTCTGGCCCTGACCTCATCATGCGCTCTGATCAGCACCTGACAAATACTGGATCTCCATGGTAACCGCGACTGGAGAAAGTGAGTGACTGAGTGTGTATGTTATTGTTTGTGTATGTGTAAGAAAGTGTGTGTGTGTGTGTGTGTGTGTGTGTGTGCATGTATGTTTAGCTCTACCTGTGAGTGCTCAGTTGTCCTGTCTTATAAAGGAAGATATGAAAACAACCCCCCAGTGTGGAGATATCCCTGCTCCACTGATGATGAAGGTGATCCATCACTCAGAGCATGCTGCACCAGTGTCTGATGACTGTCAGATGAGTGTGTGAGCGCTGCTGCTCTACAGGCTGAATTAGGCCAGAGAAATGATCAGTAACCTGATGGAAAAACAGTGCAAGTCTATGTAACGTCCTCACTAATATAGCAAAACAACCGTGTGTGTGTGTGTGTGTAGGAGCATTAGTGGACATGGCATGAGTGTGAGTGTGTGTATGTGTGTGTAGGAGCAGAAGCAGACCTGGCATGAGTGTGTGTGTGTGTGTGTGTGTGTGTGTGTGTGTGTGTGTGTGTGTGTGTGTGTGTGTGTGTGTGTTAAGCAAGTGTTTTACACACAGACACCAGACCAAGGCCACAAGTTGCTAGGCAACAGTCGGAGCAACAGAAAGCAGGACAGAAGAGGAGCAGATCTTCAGAAATCAGTCAATAACACTGAGCTGAAACAGAAACACATCACACACAGTCATATGAGGACAGATCATGCCTGAACACCGAGCACTCACTGTACACCACTGCAGACTCACTGTACACCACTGCAGACTCACTGTACACCACTGCAGACTCACTGTACACCACTGCAGACTCACTGTACACCACTGCAGACTCACTGTACACCACTGCACTCACTGTACACCACTGCAGACTCACTGTACACCACTGCAGACTCACTGTACACCACTGCAGACTCACTGTACACCACTGCACTCACTGTACACCACTGCAGACTCACTGTACACCACTGCAGACTCACTGTACACCACTGCAGACTCACTGTACACCACTGCACTCACTGTACACCACTGCAGACTCACTGTACACCACTGCACTCACTGTACACCACTGCAGACTCACTGTACACCACTGCAGACTCACTGTACACCACTGCAGACTCACTGTACACCACTGCAGACTCACTGTACACCACTGCAGACTCACTGTACACCACTGCACTCACTGTACACCACTGCACTCACTGTACACCACTGCAGACTCACTGTACACCACTGCAGACTCACTGTACACCACTGCACTCACTGTACACCACTGCAGACTCACTGTACACCACTGCACTCACTGTACACCACTGCAGACTCACTGTACACCACTGCACTCACTGTACACCACTGCAGACTCACTGTACACCACTGCAGACTCACTGTACACCACTGCAGTGTCTGCTTGTCGGGTCAGCTGGGATTAAAGCTCTTCTTTAAGGTCTACAGAGAGCTCATGAAGACACACACATCCTCCAAACACAGGACTGGAGTTCAGGAAACGCTTGTTGAGAAGAATCATGTTTAATTTCCCACAACAGTCATCAGATCTGACGTCAGCTAATTGTTCAGAGATCTGAGCTCGCTGTAAAACAATTAACATTAATGAAAATGCTCTTGTGCGTCTGCGCTTCTGCAAGCTTCTGCTACTTGTTGGAATCCCCTGCTGCTTGATCAAGGCCTTTACACTGCTTTTCTGCATCTCTTACACTGAGACAGAAGACTGAACATCATCTGCGTCTCCACTGGTCCATCCATCCTTACCTGTTCCTTCATGTGAAATGGATTTGACACACAGTCTATATTATATAAAGTGCTGTAGGAAAGAGAGTGACCTGTCACTGAGACCCTTCATCCCTTTGGCTCCATCTTAGCCAATCAGCATCTACACAATTAGTTTTACTATTGATCATTTCAATATAATAATCAACAAGTATTTATAAATGCAAGATAGAATTTGCTAATCAAATATTTTTAAGTATTTAAATACATCAAAATCAAGAACTTTTGCACTCTGAGTTTACTCTGGAATTTAAACCTGGTATTTACTACATTCTGAGGACCAAATGTTCCCTCTAAATAGCAATAACTGTAGGCTATAAATTTTGACCTTGAGTGTGTGTGTGTCTGTGTGTATGTGAGTGTGTGTGTGTGTGTGTGTGTGTGTGTGTGTGTGTGTGCGTGTGTGTGTGTGTGTGTGTGTGCTCGCAGGTGATGATCTGCAGTGATGACCGTCATGTTGATCATTCTCACTTAGACAATGGATGAGATCTGCTGCGATCACACTGAATAATCAGTGTGTGTGGGAGGAAACGGCTGATAAACGCTGAGAGAATAGGTGTGATACCTGCGGTTACACCACACAAACACTGCGAATTACAACACACACACATAAAGATAACGCTGGTCCTCCAGACACTTAACTCCAATGAGCTCTGGGAACAACTTGTGGTTTCATTTACGCAAACCTGTTTATCTTGTCTGTAAATATGCAAATGTGCAGACGGCGGGGATGTGTGTATTCATGTCCATCTCTCAGCAGCTCTGCCCTCTTCATGCTGATGCCTTGACATTCTTCTTGAGTGTGTGTTCTCTCAACATCAAAGGTGATGAAGTGATTGGAAAGACTGCTGAAAATGCTCCTCATGCTGTTTCTGGTGCCACAGAACCACAGCTACACTCACGTTTGCCTTGCACATCATGTAGTGTGTGTTTATAGTCATAGAAATATTTCATTTTAAGGCACAATATATGTAAGAGTTTTAATCAAAATATTTAAAAACACTAGAACAGATCTATATTTTCCTGACTTACTGTATGTATGAATTGTTTGGAAAAACAGACCAGTTTATTTGGTGGGGTGGAGAGATTCTATGATTTCACACACATTCACTCAAACCCATTTTAGGTGTAAGATCCAAAAGTTTAAGTTCATATAATTATTAATCACCTGTTTCTAAATAGTAAATCTCCAAAAGTGAGGGAGACGTGTCCCCCTGTCCCCCCCGGTTGCTATGTCTCTGCACAGCTATGCTGATAATGAAAGAGTGAATAGGGCTCCACATGAACTGCTTGGATTACTTTAAATCTGCTGGCTATAAACAGTCTGTTGTCTGTCAAAATGAAAGCTGTGTGGTTAAACAGAAGTTCATACCGGCTGAAGCCAAATATTACCCTAAAAGACTGATAGCCCCACCGTAAAGAACTGATAGGCCCGCCCTAAAGAACTGATAGCCCAGCTCTAAAGAACTGATAGCCCCGCCCTAAAGGACTAATAGCCCAGCTCTAAAGCACTGGTAGCCCCGCCCTAAAGAACTGATAGCCCCGCCCTAAAGGACTAATAGCCCAGCTCTAAAGCACTGGTAGCCCCGCCCTAAAGAACTGATAGCCCCGCCCTAAAGGACTAATAGCCCAGCTCTAAAGCACTGGTAGCCCCGCCCTAAAGAACTGATAGCCCCGCCCTAAAGGACTAATAGCCCAGCTCTAAAGCACTGGTAGCCCCGCCCTAAAGAACTGATAGCCCCGCCCTAAAGGACTAATAGCCCAGCTCTAAAGCACTGGTAGCCCCGCCCTAAAGAACTGATAGCCCCGCCCTAAAGGACTAATAGCCCAGCTCTAAAGCACTGATAGCTCCGCCCTAAAGAACTGATAGGCCCGCCCTATAAAGAACTGATAGCCCAGCTCTAAAGCACTGGTAGCCCCGCCCTAAAGATCTGTGACGTATATCAAATTGCCCGTTTTCCTATATGTTTATATATGTTCTTTCGGTGTGGGTATATATACTTATAATGACATTTATTCATGTTCCTTCAGCTTATTTCCTTTATTTATCAGGGGTCACACAGCGGAATGAACTGCCAACTATTCCTGCATATGTTTTACACAGCGGATGCTCTTCCAGCTGCAACCCAGTGCTGAGAAACACCCATACACACTCATTCACACACACTCACACACACACTCATACACTACGGCCAGTGTAGTTGATCAGTTCCCCTATAGCGCATGTGTTTGGACTGTGGGGGAAACCGGAGCACCCCGAGGAAACCCACACCAACACAGGGAGAACATGCAAACTCCACACAGAAACACCAACTGACCCAGCTGAGACTTGAACCAGAGACCTTCTTGCTGTCGGGCGAACGTGCTACCCACTGTGCCACCATGCTGCCTATAAATATCATGTATTATATGTACATGACTATACTATTATCAATAAGCACACAGAACGCACACATCACCAATGATTATTGTGCTAAAATGAGTTTTAGACAGAAACTCTTGTTAAACATGACATTTAACTGTCTGTTATGTGGAGATAATTGCATAGGGGATGTAATATTTACCAGGAGACATCCTAATGTATGAAAACACAAAGTATATTGCTGTTGTACCGCAGTCGCAGGTGTGCTCAGGTGTGTTTATTACAGTAATCACGCATTTATCATACAGTAGTGACTCTGCGCATGCGCACTCTGCTTTTTCCATAGCTCCTCCCTCCACCATCCCCACAGTTCACTCATAAGCGCTGGAGATTCAGTCGCGCGCACAGACGAGACTCAAGATAAACGCGTGAACTAACCAACACACACACACAGATAAACAAACACACACACCGCGAACGATTTAGGAATATAAACCAATCGATCGACCGGAGGAGGGAAACACTGCAGCGCAAGCACCGCGGATTATTGAGTTATTCCTGTCAGAATTCAACAGGTCAGTGGATCATCATCCCTCAGCGTCAGAGTCAGTGCTCGGTACAGTGAGTGTGTTCTGCTCCTCACCCTCAGTGTGTGTGTGTGTGTGTGTGTGTGTGTGTGTGTGTGTGTGTGTGTGTGTGTGTGTGTGTGTGTGTGTGTGTTGAACATCTCTGCAGCTCATCGATAATAATCTGCTCTGGATTATCATCTGTTCTTCTGTTATATAATCTCATATATGGAGATGAATCATGTTCTCCGGATCATCACCGAGTCATGATTCGGGAATCACTTTATTAACGGAAACTTTAGATTCCCGCTCCTTTATCTTATTCTAATAGGACACTTTGAGTTCTTTGATGATGTTGATGATGATGAGCGAGTGTTTGTTTGCTGATCAGTGTGTTTCTGCTGTTTCAGGTCTCAGTGTGTAAAATGGAGTCGCTTTTACCTGGATTCAGAAACACACTCAAGGTGAGAACAGTGTGTGTGTATGCGTGTGTGTTCGTCACACATCTGGACTGACAGCTCTTCTGTCGATAAGATCAGGGCGGGGCCTGTGCTCCGCTCTGATTGGTCGAGGGCAGAGCTGCTGTAATGTCATTGGAGGTCAGCTCCTCTCGCCCACGCGGTTCGCTCCGGCACGGAACAGGAAAGCCATATATGGTCGTGCCGCTGGGGCGGTGACGTCATGTGGAGGGCGTGTCCTCGGGTTTTCCTGCCCGTGCCGGTTTGAACTCAGTCTGGGGTTTCTGTATCAGTGTGTGAAGTGTGTGCAGACCCGTATTAAGAATTCAGACGCCCCTAGGCACAATGTCTTTTAGGCCTTAAAAAGTCTTAAATTGACTGAAATATTGTGTTGTAGGTCTTAATTCATTTTAAACAGGTCTTCATTTTCTGATGTTTATGTAAAGCTATACTACACCCATCCAATCACTAACAATGATTGTCAATAAAGTTTTAACAAACATTTATTTATTAACTCTGTTTACTTATTAATATGGTTTAATTATCTTCCTTACAATAACATTTTTTATGTTTTATTAAGGTTTTAACTTGGCCATTTAAACATCTTTATGATCTAGCCCTGTGTTTTCTGAAATTTCATTCATTATGGTCCTAAAATGGTCTTAAAAAGGTCTTTTAAAAGTCTCAAATTTGACTTGATGAACCCGTAGAAACCCTGTTATGTCGTCTCTGTCAATCAAACAGTGATGGGTGGGAATCATTTAGTTAGATTATTCCAACGAGGTGCGCTATTAGCACTTAGCCTAAATAGACACTTCAAAATCGGCATTTTTCCCTCTTGCAGGGACCTCAAATGCGCACGGACCCCTGTGCCTGTGCCCATAATGCCCATTGGTTAATCCGGCCCTGAGTGTGTGTGTGTGAATGTAATGTGTGTTCTTGTGTGTCTCGCCCAGCGTCAGGCAGCGTTTGAGCTGTTTGAGGACCCCATGTCCCTGTTCTCCGGCTTCTGTCCCCTGGAGGAGGAGCAGGCGGCTCAGGAGGTCCCGTCCGGCCTGGACTGCTTCCCTCAGGGTATTAAAACACTCTCACCTGGGTTTATTTATATATTTACTGGATTATGTTCTGCATGACACATGAATACAGCAAATTACAGCAATAACTTTAGGATATTAGTTTGATTATGAACAGATCTTGGTCTCTTTCTAAAGGGAGGAAAAAGAGTAAATAAATCAAATAAATTGAGTAAACAAATAAACAGTTAAGCAATAAGGAAAGATAAAACTGAATGAATAAGTTTAGTAAATGAATATTATTTTGAATGTAATAAAGTTAGCCTGCAGATTTCTTGTCAAAGCTCTGATTTTTCCCAGATTAATGCAAGTGAACACTTCTCGTAGCCGAGTATTGAGTATGGTGGTTATGGAATAAGAGTGCTTTACCTGCTTTACCAGCGTCTCACCGCATGTGCACTACATTCAGCCCAATACAGCAGATCCGGCTCTTTACTTATGTTGATGAGGAGTGTGTTTCTGATCATGTGTCGTTGTTCTGCAGATGCTGGTGTGTGTTCGGTTCCTCTGCTGACGCCCTGCAGTAAAGCTGTGGTCAGTCAGGCTCTGAAGGACAGCTTCAGCGGGTTCTCCAAAGTCCAGCGCATCTGCGGCATCTCTGACAGTGAGTGTCCTGCTCTCCGCTGAGCTGTGTGTGTGTGTGTGTTTCTATCATAGGATGCTAATAAGATTTGTGTGCAAAACTGGAATATCTAGTAAATGATCAGTGAGTAGAGCAGTGTGTCCATCAGCGCTGCACAGTAGAGCATCTCCTCCTCACTCCTGCACAGATATCACTGAGAGAAGTGGAGTCACTGCTGTTTGTTCTCCTCTAATGAATGAGCTGCACCTCAGAACACCAAACCAATGAACACAGTGAATGAGGAGGCTTCAGGAGGAGTGAGACAGCAGCGCAGACAGATGCTCAAGACAGTTCTGGAGGGAATAATAATAGAAGAAGAAGAAGAATACTGAAGCCCTGTGATGACGGACTGACGGAGGCCTGAGACAGAACAACATTTCACATCTGACACAATGGAGAGCTGGAAACACAGAGAGCTGCAGACCAACATCAATCACACACACACACACACACACCCTCTCACACACACACACACACACACACACACACACACACACACACACACACACACACACACATTTATATCTGTCAGTTCATCGGATCAGCACTGAAGCGCACACACTGATGCTTTACTCAGTACAGCTGATCACTGCACAGTGTAGCGCAGTTACTCTTATCTGAGTTTACTACACATGTGCGTTTTCCAAATGTAAGCACATCTTGGTGTTTCCGTTAATAATTCCAAATGCACATGAAAACAGGTGTATGTACACAGCCGTGTGCCTGATCTCCGCTGTGTCCCGCAGACCCGCGCAGGTGGACGAAGCAGCAGGTCCTGCAGTGGCTGTACTGGGCGTCCGGAGAGTTCAGCCTCACCAACATCAGCTTCTTCAGCTTCGACATGAGCGGACGGGAGCTCTGTGAGCTGGGCAAGGACAGGTTCCTGGATCTGGCTCCGGATTTCGTGGGGGATATTCTGTGGGAGCATCTGGAGCAGATGATGAGAGGTGAGCACAGTTTATACACAGATTCAGGATTTACAGTGTCTATAGATCATATACTGATCAGATTACTCTTCTCCAGAACAAACCACTGTTATACAATGACTTGCCTAATTACCCTAACTTTACCCTAATTACCCTAGTGAAGCCTTTACATGCCACTTTAAGCTGAACACTAGTGTCTTGAAGAACATCTAGTCTAATATTATGTGCTGTCATCATGGCAAAGAGAAAATAAATCAGCTATTAGAGATGAGTTATTAACACTGTTATGATTAGAGATGTGTTGGAGAAATTTGCTCTCTGATACACAGAAATTGGGGGAAAAATAAACAGGGGGGTGAATAATTCTGACTTCAGCTGTGTGTGTATATATATATATTTAAAATACATATTAAAATAATGCACTGTATGGCAATTGATTTTTCTTTCATGCCAAAAGTCTTAGAATCTTCAGTAAAGAAGATCAAGTTCTGTGAGGATATTTTGCTAAAATAAGGCAAAAGCTGAGCGCTCGACTGTAATCGTATTGAAGAGATGCAGCAGAACCCTGATTCATCACACTGACTCACACACATCGTTCTTTTGGTTTCATTTTAATAATGTCCTCCAGGGAAATGTGTCTGAGTAAACCTGTAGAGTTCAGGAAGAAACCTAGAGCAGTAAAACTGAAGCTTTCCAGAGAAACAAAAACTCACGTCAAGTCAGAGTGAGTTGTCAATTATAAAGTATTTTTACTAAAAGGACTGTGTTAGATTAGAGCAGGGTTCTTCAGTAGTGCACACACACACACACACACACACACACACACACACACACACACACACACACACACACACACACACACACACACACTCATGTCTGATGGATGTGTTTTCTGCAGGCTGTGTGGAGGACGAGGAGCTGAAGGTGTCTGACTGCAGCTGGCCCAGCAGTAAGTGTTTTCATCACCACACACACACACACACACACACACATTATACACACATGACTTCATTATAAACACTGCAGACGTGTGCGCAGGTTTGCTGTTTTAATTCAGTAACACCTCTCTCAGACTAGAGATTAGAGCTCATCTTTGTATTATTCCTCATCTGTTTGTGCCTGTAGTTTTCAATTTCACCACATATGTTCATAGAGAAATCTACACTTCATTCTGTCTGTATTCTGATCACACACACCAGATTTTACACTTTTATTAATATCTATATTTTGATCAATATGTATGGATTGACATATAAATATATGCAGCAGGGTACACTATCTGCTCCTGAAATAAACACAGAAATACAGTGAATAAACAGTATTTCATCCATAATTGTCTAAAATGGCCTGATGGTTGATTTGTGTTTGCTCTTCTGTAAAGGAATATGTCCTTCATTTGGTTCTCAGATTTGTTTTCTTAATTAAAACCCTTAACAAATGTACAAACCCTGTCATTGTCCTTGTCCTCAATTGGATCTACTTATAGAATAGTGTTGTAATGCTGAAAACTGTTATTCAGGGAAGAACGTCAGAAATAGCTCATTTGAGTTGTTTTCATTCACATCAATTGATTAAAAACAGGACACTATAAATGAACTTTACAAATAAATACTACACATATATCATACAAATTTACAATTGTCCCAGTGTTTCTGTCAGTCCTGATACATCTGTATTACATTTAACATGACACGCATGCGATACACCTTTACGGCTATGACTCGGAAGTGACATCAGTTGATGGAGTGGAGTAATATTGACCTTAAAATAGTGTTTAAAACATTTAAAACTGCTTTTATTCTAGCCGAAATAAAACAAATCAGACTTTCTCCAGAAGAACAAATATTATCAGACATACTGGGAACATCTCCTCAATCTGTTCTACATCATTTGGGAAATATTCAAAACAGAAACAAAAATTTAAAGGGGGCGAATAATTCTGACTTCAACGGTATATATACATATATATATATTTTTTTTAAATTATTATTTATTTATTTATTTATTTATTTTTCTTTCTTGTAATTGCCAGTACCACTACAGAACAGCTTTTGTGTAATTCTGAAAACTGTAACTCAAGCATATTTCCTTCTGCTTAACACGAGGATGTCAATGAACAAACGGTTCCTGATGTAGTTTGTAATTGAGCACTCATATTAGAGTTCTGCTTTTTGTAGCTCCTCTGGATATTGCTGCGGAGGGACGTTTGCAGTGTGCCGTGTGTGTGTGTGTGTGTGTGTGTGTGTTGTCATCATTAGTTGTGAAATATTTCCACACTGCTGACATGGTGTTTCTGAATTTCCTTGTGACATATCGTGTGTGTGTTCTGAAAAGCTGTGTCAGTGACGTCAGTCTTTGGTATCGGTGTGTTTTCATGACTACAGGTACATGTTTCTATCAGCATCAGAACACTGATCACACACACCAAACTGCAGACTTATTCACAGTGCCTATAGAGAATCATCATAGCTGTGAGCATCTCTACATTTCCCCTTGAGGATAGAGATGTAGATCAGGGCACAGGTCAGGAGAGGCTACAGGAACATCAGCATGTAAAGGGGTGTGAGGGGGATCTATAGGCACTGCAGGTCTGCTTATGAGAGAGTGTGTGTGTCTGTGCGGCTTGTGTGTGGACAGTTAACTGACGTGTGTGTGTGTGTGTGTGTGCAGGTCTCAGTCTGGACGAGTGCTCTCTGACGGCTCCGAATCCTCACAGTAGTCTCCTGCGAGAGCTCTTCCAGACGTCTGATGATGCGGCTCTGCTAGCGTCCGCCGCGGAGCTCCCGGCGTGTGCTAAGCCTCAGCTCAGCACGGTCAGCGTCCGCTACAGGAGCCACGAGTTCACCAAAAACACTCCGCAGCTCCGCACTGCAGGTCAGAGACGGGCATTCACACGTGATCGGGGCTGAGCTTGTTGACACGGGGGCACTGCCCCGCTCTAGAACCGCCACTGGCGAGAGCTACGAGAATATTAAACTGTGTATGGGTGTTTCCCAGTACTGGGTTTCATCTGGAAGGGCATCCGCTGTGTAAAACACATGCTGGAATAGTTGGTGGTTCATTCCACTGTGGTAATCCCTGATGAATAAAGGGACTCAGCTGATTGATTGAGTGTATTTGATTGCATTTTAACGTTATCAAGAGTATAACGTGTACCTGTGTGCTGACCCGTGTGTGTGTGTGTTTGTGTGTGTTCAGGCTCATCCGGGGAGCAGGCGTCACAGGAGAGTGTGGAGAGCGCAGAGGAGTGTGTGTTGCGCTCCTGGGGAAGCCACTCGTCGCTCGCGGACACCCAACGCGTGCCGTCCTACGACAGCTTCGAGGAGGAGCTGCTGCCGCTGGGCCTCCAGAAACACGGACGCTCCTTCAAAGACTACGTGCAGGAGAGAAACCAGACGCAGGAGACCGGCAGACCCGTCATACCTGCAGCCGTGCTCGCCGGATTCACTGGTGCGCATCTCACACACACACACACACACACATACACACACACACACACACAGACACACAGACAGACACAAACACACAAACACACACACACACACAAACACACACACACAGACACACAAACACACAAACACACACAAACACACACACACACACACACACACACACACACACACACATTTGCACAAAAAACACTCTCACAGAGATACATACACACACATACACACACACACACACATACACACACACAGACACGCTCAAACACACACGCACACACTCATACACACACATACACTCACACACATTTATACAGACATACACACTTAAACACACACAGACACACACACACACACACACAAACATATACATACTGAAAAGACATACACACACATACAGACATTCGTACACACACAGACTTGCACACATGGACACACACACTCATATGCACTCACATACTCATACACACATATATACGTGCACAGACTCACACACAAACACACACACACACACACACACACACACTCGTAGACAAGCACAGACACACACAGATACATTTACACACACACACTTATGCATGCTCGCTCACACACACTCACACACATACATGCAAACACAATTACTTGCGCACACACATAAATACAGACACAATACATACATAAACACTTACACACACACACACTTAAGCACTAAAACGCACACTCACTCATCATTGACTGTGATTGACCTTTGACCTCTGCTGCTCCACAGGAAGTGGCCCTATCCAGCTGTGGCAGTTCTTGCTGGAGCTGCTGACCGACTCCACCTGTCAGAGCATCATCAGCTGGACCGGAGACGGCTGGGAGTTCAAGCTTACTGACCCTGATGAGGTGAGACGCGCACACACACACACACACACACACACAATTGGGCCCTCATAAGTGTAGCTAAACCTAAACACACACACACACACACACACACACACACATACACTTGAATGGCAAGAGAGCCGCCTTAAGCGGTGCACACCATTGGACTGGATGGCTTTCATAGCGCAGTGCTCTCTGCGTCTGGTGTGTGAGTCTGCACACTGTGGTTCAGTTTCAGCCGCGTCCGCATACGCTGACAGCCTTCATGACTGACATGAAACACACACCATTTCCACAAGCTGGAGTGCTGAAAGATAATTGGCTGAACTGGCAGTGGGCGGAGTTACAGAGTTAAAAACACAGCGCACACACTCTCACTTACTTCAGCAGCGTTCACTCAGCATGATCCTGCAAACACACTCGAGAACTTTCAGAGAGAACCACTTTAAGAAGAGCGCTGTGATTGGCTGATGAAGTGTCACTAATGGTGTGTGTGTGTGTGTGTGTGTTAGGTGGCGCGGCGCTGGGGAAAGAGGAAGAACAAGCCCAAGATGAACTATGAGAAGCTGAGCCGCGGCCTGCGCTACTATTACGACAAGAACATCATCCACAAGACCTCGGGGAAGCGCTACGTCTACCGCTTCGTCTGCGACCTGCAGAACCTGCTGGGCTACACCGTGGAGGAGCTGCACGGCCTGCTGGGAGTTCAGCCGGACAGCGAGGACTGAGCGTGCGCGCGCGCGTGTGTGTGTGTGTTTCTGCAGGCCGCTGCGGGTCTGTGTTTATGGCTGATGCCGGAGCAAACGTTTCTCCTGTGATGAGAACGGCCACACTTTGAGCCGCTCACACACTCTCTGCACTGATCTGAGGACAGTGTGTGTGTGTGTGTGTGTGAGCGCTGCACACTGGTTTATTGAGCGCTGGATCTTCAGCAGTGTTTCTCACATGTGTCTGACGCTCAGCTCTCTCTCTCTCTCTCTCTGTGTGTGTGTTTCTGATGATCTTGTGTATTGATTTCCTCTCGCTGCTCTGTGGAGGACGCTTTCGCTCAGGCCAAAGGGACGTGGAGATCCCGACTGAATGTTTACTTGACCAAAGCTTCAGTGATGATGATGAAGATGATGATTGTCTCTCCATCAGGAGCAGAACTCTGTGTTTCCCTCCAGACTCCTGGAGCTTTATTCTGATCATGTACGCGGTCAGCTCTGCGCACGCGTGTGTGTGTGTGTGTATTTATATGTCTGTACGGGCTGTTTTGTATGGAGAGCTGCTCTCGGAGCAGGTTTATTTTCCCGATGGTGGAGATGGATTTTCCCAGAGCGCTCGTTCAGCTTTTATTACTGAAGCTCCCTGGGTGGGCTTTGTGCTGGACGTCCTCTGTGGACTGCTTTACTGGACTCTTGATGATGACAATCTGCCCAGACACACAGCTTAATGTCTGTAACACACTGCCAACACTTTCATATCGCCCACACGGTCAAACAATAAAGGATGCTGAACTGACGCGGTGCACAGCAGTTTACTTTATCTGTGTGTGTGTGTGTGTGTGTAAGAGAGAGAGTGTGTTTGTGTGTGTGTGTGTGTGCAAGAGAGAGTATGTTTGTGTGTATGTGTGTGTGTGTGTGTGTGTGTGTGTTTCATGAGCAAATGATAGAAAAAGAAAATGAAAGCAATCAGGAAGCGGAGTGTGACTTTATCTGTGTTCAGGAGCCAGTTGTGTGGCATTTTCATGTGTATTGTCATCACTCATGAGCGCTTCACTCCATCATGAACACACTGCGCTTTCACTGAGAAATCAACAGCACCAGGACTCTTCATTCATTCACTCATTTTATTTTCAGCTTAGTTCCTTTTTTCACAGCGGAATGAACCGCCAACTTATCCAGCACATGTTTTACACAGTGGATGCTCTTCCAGCTGCAACCCAGTACTGGTAAACACCCATACACGTTTATTTACACTCATACACTACGGTCAGTGTAGTTGATCAGTTCCCCTATAGCGCATGTGTTTGGACTGTGGGGGAAACCGGAGCACCCGGAGGAAACCCACACCAACACGGGGAGAACATGCAAACTCCACACAGAAACACCAACTGACCCAGAGACTCGAACCAGCAACCTTCTCTCTGTGAGGCTATTGTGCTACCCTCTGCACCACCGTGACGCCGCAGGACTCTTCATGTTTAAGCTATTTTTATTATTTATTCAATAAAACTTGAGTTCCCCATGCTGACGCACAGCCGTCTGTAGCTCCGCCCTCTTCTAAAAAGAGCTCAAACTCATTTGCATTTAAAGTGACAGTCACCAAAACACCACAATGAGGATCACAGCCTGAAAGCGTCAGTTTCAGAGAGCTGGAGGACAACATCTGTGTGCTGTTCTCAGCTCAAACACGCTCAAACACACACAAGAGACACAGCAGAGACGTGTTTACAGCTTGTAGAAAGGGGCACAGTAGGTGATAATAATAATAAGTTTTGAATGACACTGAACTTGTTTATGGAGTATACACCCTTAAATGATGCTGTTATAAAAGAAAAAGATGCAAACACACACACACACACACACACACACACCAGGTGAAGCAGACTCAGTCAATGAGCCGCTCTTTATGTAAGTAAATTACGCAATCTGCTTCCTTGACATTTACTGTAACTCAAACACTGATTACTGTAATTACAAGACAAATAACAGTGATTGGGACGAGTTGTACGGTGTGTTTCAACACTTGTTCTGACGTGCACACACTTTTATTATGAACACATACTAATGTACCAATGCATGGTGAATGTCTATAGACTCTGATAAGTGTGATTATTACAAAGGCATGTCCTCATAAACACCTCAACATTGTGATAATTAGGTAATACTTGTGATATTAAATATAATGTGTCCTCATAAAGCACAAACATCAGCACACACAGACCCACAGCTGAGTCAACACTCCTGATAAAGACTCAACTGATGCTCTCGATTCACAGCTGTCCTCAACATACAGCCTTCACCGCCGCTCCGTGTGTGTGTGTCTGTGAACGTGTGACTGAATGAATGTGTATGGGGTGTTTGTGTCTGTGTGTGTGTTTGTGCGTGTATGAGAGTGCTAATAGTGTGTTAGCCTGTGTGTGTGTGTGTGTGTGTCAGTTTGTATGTTAGAGATGTTAGTGTGTGTTTGTAAGTGTGTGTGTGTGTGTGTGTGTGTGTGTGTGTGTTTGAGTGTGTCTGTGTTCACTGAATGAGAAGCTTCTGTGCGTCATTAATGCAGTGTTTCTCGACAGGTTTGATCAATGATTGAAAATAAAACAGCACAAGCTTTAATTTTTTCTGAACATGAAGATGTCACTAAAAGCACTCAGATTATTTTGGAGATCAGAGTTCAGATGTGGAAAATCAGCGGACATGAGGATGTCCGAGAGTAAACGTGTGATTTCTCTACGCCATTCTGGAGGAAACACCTTCATCTGCTCGACAAAACTTAAATGTTGTGCATTAACACCGAATATATTTACAAGCAGAACTCATCTTTCACATCTGTCCCCACAAGACCACAATGCTATTGTATTAGTATACTTATGGGGACATTTAGTCCCCACATTATGATCAATGCATGGAACACACAAACATGCATAGACACACTCTCACACTCTCACTCACTGGTTGGTTTTTGGGTTTATGAGGACCCTGCATAGGAGTAATGTATTTTATACAGTAAACATGTATTACATTAGCATAACCCTCACAGCACACCTGCGGCAAAATATTAAACGTGAAAAGCCTCATTAAGTATAATTGTAAGTGTTTTGAATTACAAAGACACAAGGAATGTCCTCATAAACCACACCAATGTCATTATACACATTTCTGTCCCCATAAACCACATAAACAAGCACACACACACACATGATGTAACAAACTCAGGTTGTTAGGGTGATCTGATTTCAAGTTGTCATGGTTACTGGCCTGTGCTTCAGCTGGACTCTGTGAGAGCCTCTATACTCAATCATTTGACTGAAAGCAGAGATGGGCAGAGGATCGCCAGTTTGGACACAAGTATGAGAGGAAATGAGTGAAGTGTGTGAACACAATGATCCTCAGAGACAGAGAGGAAGAAATGTGGATATTTCACCTTCAACAGTGCAGAACATCATTACAGACTGAAGGAGTCTGGAGGAGTTTCAGTGCGTAAAGGACAAGAGCACAAGCCTAAGCTGAACAACCGTGACCTCCGACCCCTCAGGGGGCGCTGCATCAACAGTCCTCATTCATCTATAAGCAGATCAGCACATGGACTCAGCACTGCTGCGCTAAACCTGTGACAAGCAGCACAATACAGAGTCACATCCACAAACACCAGCCAACACTGCACTGTGCCAAGAGGAAGCCCTATGTTAACAGTGTCCAGAAGAACCGTCCACTTCTCTGAGCTTGGAGGCATCTGGAATGGATCATCACACAGTGGAGACGTGTACTGTGCTCAGATGAAGCCGTGTTTCAGGTGTTTCTGGGAGAAATGGACGCCGTGTGCTCCTAACTTAACTGATTTGTGTTCACTGGAAAATAAAATGCGTAATTTTAGTGTTGTAGACTTTTCTTACTCAGAGAGAATATATAGTGCTGTTTTCATGAGTCTAAATAAAGAGAGAATTTCCTGAAACAAGCGAAATCGTCAAAACGTCTTGATTTAAACAAGACGAGACTAGAAACGAGACAAAACAGTCAGAAAGGCAGCCTGTGCAGAGTCGGGTCATCATGAGTGTATTGTGTGGACTCCAGCCTGTTTGACAGTGTAAGTGTGATCCTGCTTTCCCTTATTGTTTAGGAATCAAACCCGTGACCCTGCAGTCTGAGACGCAGATCTGATCCTGACATCCACATCACAAGCACACACTGATCCTCAGGCAGGAATCTGAGCTGGATGAATACGCCTCCGCTGAACGCCTACACACACACACACACACACACGTTATCAGCCAGTCTGATCATAGTGCGACCTGCAGAACCAGCCTCCAGACACACACACACACTGATTGACAGGCGGGGAGGGCTTGTTTTTCCTTGGAAAAGCTTTACAGGAGCGTCACTTACAGTCAGAGCTGTGCTGGAGGAGGAGTCAGAGCTCACACACACACACACACACACACACACACACACACACGCACACACACACACACTGCACCAGGACAACACAACAACACACCAACTAGGGCTGGGCAATAAGACACAAATCTCATACCATGATCACAATATAAAGTCTGAACTATTTACCCCCAGGATTATTCACCCCCCTGTTAATTTTGTACCCAATTTCTGTTTATCAGAGAGCAGATTTCTCCAGCACATCTCTACTCATAACAGTGTTAATAACTCATCTCTAATCACTGATGTGTTTACTCTTCAGCATGATGACAGCACATAATATTAGACTAGATATTCTTCAAGACACTAGTGTTCAGCTTACAGTGACATGTAAAGGCTTCACTAGGGTAATTAGGGTAAAGTTAGGGTAATTAGGCAAGTCATTGTATAACAGTGGTTTGTTCTGGAGACAATCCAACACTAATATTGCCAATAATATTGAGCTTAACATGACTTTAACACTATTAAACACTGCTTTTACTCTAGCCCAAATAAAACACATCAGACTTTCTCCAGAAGAACTAATATTAGAGGAAACACTGTGAACATTTCCTTTGGGAAATATTTCAGAAACATTAAATATTGCACTGTAGGGTGAATAATTTTGCCCTCAACTATAATATTCTCTAAACTCAGTTGTAATATATGAAGAGTTTAGATGCAAAAACCTCTAAATATTGATTTTTTTTCCTTAAAATTAGCATTTTCTCAGACTCCTTTGTGTAGGCTCAGTAATTTTACTTTTATAGTGACAGATTAGTTATTTACATTGCCTTTAAAGTGAAATAACTGAACATAAACAAAGGAGGATAACAAAATTTTTTTGTCCTCTCAGAGTATACAGTAAAGTTTTCCAGAGTCGTTTAGATTAACGAATCTATTATTGACTTTTTCTCTCGGTATCGCACACTGCCAGCTGTGAACCAGGCGGAAAGCAATTAAAGAATAATGCAAAACACATACGAGCTTTAGAAAGTGAAAACAAAAGTTGAATCCCGGACATTTTAGCAGATTTAGACACCTGGGCCGGACACATTTTTCCAAAAGAGTCCCAAAACTGTGCGTCTCTGTGGGTCTGCAGAGCGAAGCTGTCTGCACGAGTGTTGCCAGGTCTCGCTGGCTTAGAAAGAAACTGGTTAACAAGAAAAGGT